AGAGGCAAACAGACAGTTTCAGGTAAAGGCTGGATTATTTTCAAATTAAACTTCACAATATAATTGTAATCAAGAAATGAAAAAGAAGAACCTTTGTAGCTTATTTCATATTTTCTTATTAAGTCAAAAGGTTCTGTATTTTCTTGTTTTCCATTCTCGGCTCATTCATAAAAATAAAAAGGCTACAGTTCAGTACAGCTGCACAGTCATGGTTACTGTTATTGGTCCTGTCTGGTAATAGATGGCAGACTCATTGGACCTGTGGACTTTGACAGACTATTTAGGGTACTGAGTAATTTGGGTGAAGGACCATGACCGGCAGACCTCATGAATGCTCTTCTTGCTCAGTGGGAGCAAGTCCCTTCCCAGAAGAGTGGAGGCTGTTATAGATGCATACAGTGTTGGTGCCTGTGGTTTTTGAATGACATGTTCAGCGCTGTCACTTGTGAGTGTAATATTTTGGCATCTGAATATTTTGTTCAGTTGTCCACATACTTTTGCCCATGTAGTGCAGCTGATACGTTTAAAAAAAAAATGAAATAATTACAATGCAGTCTCTTACAAGAAACAATGTCCTAAGTGCTCTGAATAATCCACAGCTCTCACCAAAACTACTTTTTCTTGGAAATAGTATCTGCTAAAGAAATAATCATATAAAACCACTTACAGTAGGTTGAATGGAATATCCAGAAATCTGAGTGAAAAGTATAACAAAACCAGATATATAGAACATAACTGGCTACAGTGAGAAAATGTGTTATAGAGTAGAAGTGCTGGATTTTATGGGTTTACATTTACCTAGCTGTCTATCTATGTATATACTTTGTATGTATATATATATTTTTTTTATTTCAAATTTTAGCTTCTGTAAAAAGACAGTCTTCAGTTTCTTTTCATGGTGCATATTAGTGCTTCAAAGTCTCTTCCCAGATCGTGTTTACTGGTTTAAAACAACTTTTATTGGGGCCATTATTAATTTATTTAGATCTGTCTAAATTTTTCACGAAATGTTACAAAGTCAGGCAGAGTGTAATTTATCATTTTGTGAAATTTGTCTTTATTCAGGCACATTGAGGAAAACACACAAACACAAAACCTGATAACTCCTTTGCTGTACTGTTGATTGGTTTCTAGTTTTATTAATGGCTTTATTTCCTAACTAATTAAATGCCCTAAATACTGCTGGTGCAATTAAAGGTAGTAATACGCTAATTACTAATTAAATAGGCTGCTCCTCATTTTGTCAGTAAGGACTGCATCACTGTGGTCAAACACAGCCCAGTCCTGCTCTGGGTTGTCCTCTCTGTGGCTTCAAGTAGTGCTAAGAGCTGAACATAGTCTACTGCAGAAGGTTTTGTGTGTGTGTGTGTGCATGGAAGACACGTCGCTCCCGTGTGAGCTGAATAGATGATCAGTGTGTCTATGAGCCGAACTAGGCTACTGCTGCAGCACACCAATCGTTACCTGATAAAGACAGATGCACACACAAAGGCACATACACAAACATATGAACACACACTACAGTGGGCATTATCTCCAAAAGGAAGATAGACTTGGCAAACATATCCATAAAAGATAGCTGCAGATGGGATCTCTTCAGATTGGAGGTGTGTGTGTGTGCGTATGGCCAACAGTGTGGGGACCGCTTTGAATTGTATACCCTGGGAGTGAGGACATTTTGATGGGTCCACACACCTCAAAGCGCTGTATGAGGGTTAAAATTTGGTTTTAGTTTGCCACCATCTAATCTGTGTTCATGCAAGGGTTCTCTTTTTATATCTGTATGGCTACATTTGTGTGCATTCACTTATTTTTGATGTATAAGCATACAGCATGCGTGTGTGTATTTGTCCTATGTGTACACTTATCTTTAGTGTGATGCATATGTGGGTGTTTTCCTGAGTGTCTTGGTTGTGTATGCTCATTTTTCAGAGCGCAGCCAGGATATGGCCTTGGGGTTGCTGGGGGTATTAGGGACTATTTTTTAGCAGGGAAGCGGATTAGGGGAGCACGGGGAATGGCGTGGCTGAGGCTGATTTTCTGTCAACAGCCTTAGTTATCCCTCAATCCCTCCCTGTGTGGGAACTGGGACCTCACTCTGAGCTGTGCCTTGGGCTCACAGATGGAGAGAGACATAGACAAATGCAAAGAGAGAGAGGGGAGACAGTGTTGACAGTCAGAGAAATAAAAAGAGAAGTACAGAAAAAGAGGAAGGGAGGAAATGTGAGAAAGAATTGGATTGAAGAAATAGTCAGACTGAGCAGTAAATCAAACCGGGATCAGGGTGTTTACGATAATGATCATCAGCTCATGTGAACTAAGCCTAAACATAAACATGCAAGGTATCAAATCCTCATTTTTGGCATCTGAACACACTTCCAGATAGGCATATTTGGCTGTGAATCCCACTGAGAATTCTGCATTTTCTGCATGATTTGTGTGGGCATGAGTGTGTGAAAGAGAGAGAGAGACACAGGCGATAACCCTGCACACCTATATGTGTGTGTGTCAGCATGTGTGATCTGCCCCTATGTAGTCAACACATATGTTCAAAAGGTTTTACGCTCACTACAGTAATACCACTGCATTCAGCACTCTTCACTCACATTGTCCGGAACAATGAAAGATGCCTATATGGCTGCAGACTCCACGTGTGAATATGAACTATTCTGACCCACATTGCTGCATTGTTGGATTCTGAATACTAATGTGTGTTTTCATCCCAGGGTGTGGAGCGTCCGCTACAACCATAGCCATGACCAGCTGGTGTTGACAGCCAGCAGTGACAGCCGCCTCATCCTCTCCAATATGGTGTCCATCTCCTCGGAACCATTTGGCCACTTGGTGGACGACGAGGAGCTCAGCGAGGGGGAGGACAACCACCAGGATGACAAGTAGGAGCAGCGTGGGCCAAAATTAAATGCTTTACAGAAAAGAACTAAGTAGTAATTTATAAGAAAAATATAGTTATTTGAAACAGGAGTGCTTCAGGTGGCCGTCACCACCACTGGTGCTCTTATATCATGGAAAAAATGGGACGTGACAGAAAAGAAATCCATTTTAGGCATTCGGGTGGTTGATAATAAATTCTTTTAATAAAACGGGTTAACACATTAAAAACAACATTAGCATGTATCAGCACACTTTCCTTCCTCGGGATGTCAGGACACACAGTAAGCTCAGACCCACAACTAGACAGTACTCAGAGAGACCAAACCTCTCCAAAGGAAGGCTCAGTTTCCCCATAATGCCATAACATTTATATTCCCATGATAGTTTGATAGTTTGGAGTGGTGCTGATACTTTGATTGGTTTGAAAGTTATTCAAGAAAAACAGTAGACATGACAGAAAGTCAGTCATTGATTTAGGGGTAAATTGGGGACTTCAGTGAGTGGACCACGGGCAAAGCAGTGAAGACATCACCTTTCTGTAAGTTTGTTCTGCTTGTTCGACAGCTGTTTGATAAAATGCTCATACAGTCTCTGTTACCTGCTGATTGTTGCACTACGGAGTGATCCTTCATGCCCTCTGCTCAGATGTGTGTGTGTGAGAGGAGCACAGCCCCTCCCTCCTCTAAACAGAGACCAGCAAAATACAGTGAAAAAACAAAGTAGGCCAATCCACGTCAACCTGTGAAGTTATGTCAGGTGACGGTTAAGGGGTGTACTGCTTGTTAGGGTCCGACAGTGCAAGCTGCACTGTGTAATCTGCAGCTGGAACACCAGCGTCCTCGCCAGCAGACTGCTGTGCTCTGTGTTAGTGGAAGGTCTCATGGACAAATCTGCATAGTTTAGAAGTTTTTAAGTACTATGTCTGCTGAGATTTTTTTTGCCAGTCATACATGTCTTCTACATTTTTGTAGTGCTACAGGGGACCTAATGAAACAAACAGTGTGATATAAAAGTTTAAGCAAAAACAAGTGGAATATTTTGAACTGTTCATCTGATATTAGTTTTCTGAGATTAAAGCTGACTGCCTGAACCTCTGCGTTCACGTGCTTTGACACCCAGAATGATATGAGTGGAGAGGTATAACAATAAAAGTATGTTACTGTCAAAACTCTGCAGGAGTTTTTCTCTGTAGCATTTAGAATTTATTTTAAAATTGCAGGGATATCACCTTTAATAGTTCCAATTCAGTGCTTTCCAAATCCGCCACTGTCCTCCATCCATTATTGGCCCATTTCCCCTCTCATCCATAACTACCAGCTCTTACACTCAATGACTCACTCTCATCCACAATTACCAACTCTTCTTCCTAATCATCAGCACTCAGCTTTAGTTTTAACCCTTCCACTGTAGTTATTGACCCCTCTCATATGTACAGTACGTGTCCACTCCACGCTACCTGGGGAACACATCTACTGAAGGCCTCACCTGCTTAGACTGTCTTCAGACTTTATATGGTTGCTTTTAAAATTCAACCATTTGGTCAAATTTGAGGATGATGACAAACACAAGAAAATCTGGATTAGGATTGTTTTTTCATTTGTTTGTTGTTGGTTTTTTTTACCCCCTGTTTGGTTTGTTTTTTATTTATTTATTTATTTTACTTTAACCATTTAGTGATATTAATGTACAGACTGGTGAGAAATCAAAGGAAAACCCACAAAGTGTCTGATTTGACACATTTTTCAGACTACAGTCTGGGGTACATGTATGTGGGCATGTTACACACATTAAAAACCGGATGGTGATCTCCTGACAGCCAGAAGAGCTTCTTTGTTTTATTGTATTTGGTTGAACAATATGAAAAAGTAAAAAAAAACAACAGAAAAACTAAAAATAAAAAAAGAGTGCCACTGCTTTACAAGAATAGAACCAAGGATAGGAACTAAACAGCACATACTGTATATACACTGCACAAAACAACTGTCCATTTTATTTGAAATGGAGGTAAAGTAAAATATATAGAAATTATACTGTATATATCTAACAAATTAAACTAAAAAAAAAAATCCAGATATCTCTTTATATCACATTTTCTTCAAAGAAAAAATAATTAAAATAGTTTTCATTGTTATTTTTTATATAAATTGTATTGCATGTAAGTACAACTATTAAATTGATGATTTTGCTAAGTTCTGTGGAAAGAAATGTCATTGTTACTACAGTGTAGATACTGATTACTGTTCAGCTACAGTATAATCACTCGCCCTCAGACACAGCCTGACAGCACAACTAGCTCTTTTGCCTCTATTTGGGTGCCGCTGGTGACTTGATGACACTGGTCTGTATGGATCTCACCCACACTGTATCTTAGACAAATATTTAAGTTTGATGACCCTGATGCCTTGTTCTCACATTTAACATTGGCTGCATATTAAAAACAAGACAAAGGCCACAGTGTCATTAAACTTGTGCATTTAATATCAGCTCACAGTAGCCGCTTCATTGGTGGTCATGACATACAGACCTGCAACGTTTGCAAAATGGTTCACCAAACGTTAATATACTGTAGGTCTGCAAGATGTGATACGTTCTTCTTCCATGTTCCATGGCTTACCTGTTTGTCTGTGTTTGTGTGTGTGATCCAGGGGTAAGGAGCCCCTAAAGGACAGCGTGGTATCCACCTATGAGGAACATGAGGACAGTGTGTACGCAGTGGAGTGGTCATCGGCTGACCCTTGGCTCTTTGCCTCGCTCAGCTACGACGGACGCCTCGTCATCAACAGGGTTCCCCGTGCCCTCAAATACGGCATCCTGCTCTGAGAGGGAGGGGGGGGACAGGTGATCTGAGTGTGTGGGTGGGTGGGTGGGGGGTTGTGCGCGCTTTTTTAAATACTGTATACTCTAACTGTCCCATTGACTTCTGTAAACAAAAGTCTGTGCTGAGAAGTCAAAGTAAAATAACTACTGGATAAAAGTTGTTTTAAGCTTCATTTTTAAAGAAAAATGTTCATATGGGCCTGATTGCATAAACTGTAGCCCTCTGTGTCATGTATTTATGTGCATTCTTGTTTTGTTTACTGACAGTTTTTTGTCCCAGTATTATTTGTTCTCCTGTTGTGGGGATATATTAGTCATTACCTGGGTGAAAATACCAGTGTTTAGTTCTCAGCTGCCAGTACCAGGACCAGCATTTGTTCTCTTGTAGCTAATGTTAATTTTGCTGCTGTTAGAACTGCAGTATTTAATTCAGTTATGAAATGTGGGCATCTAAAGACACTATCAAAATGAAGTCGAATGGGCAGAATAAAGAAAGAAATCTCTGAATCTTAAGTCCAGTAGCATGAACCTTGAACTTTACCTAATGCTCAAGGATAATTGGTCATTTTCAACTTGCTACTGTTTTGCGAGATTTAGTTGCTGTGACAGCCAGAGGTAGAAAGTACATTCACTCAAGTACTGTACTTAAGCATCATTTTGAGGTATCTGTACTTTACTTGAGTATTTTCCTTGTCTGTTACTTCATACTTTGACCTCATTACATTTCAGAGAAAAAAAGTATAGTTTTTACTCACAAAAGTTTATTTGATAACTTTAGTTACTAGTTACATTTCAGAATGAGATTAATTAAACAAAATGCAGTATAATCCTAAGAATTTATTGATCCATCCATTCATCCGCTTCATCCGAGACCGGGTCGCGGGGGCAGTAGTCCAGGCAGAGCCTCCCAGACTTCCCTCTCCCTACACACCTCCTCTAGCTCCTCAGGAGGACCCCCGAGGCGGTCCCAGGCCAGCCAGGAGACATAGTCTCTCCAACGTGTCCTGGGTTAGCCCCGAGGCCTTCTCCTGGAGGGACATGGCGTCCAGGGGGCGTCCAGGGGGTATCCAAAATTGGTGCTCGGGCCACCTTAACTGGTTCAGCTCAATGTGGAGGAGCAGCAGCTCTTCTCCAAGCTCCTCACGTGTGACTGAGCTCCACAGCCTATCCCTAAGGGTGCACCCAGCCACTCTCCAGAGGAAACTCATTTCTGCCGCTTGTGTCCGCAATCTCATTCTTTCGGTCATGATTCAAAGTTCATGGCCATAGGTGAGGGTAGGAACGAAGATCGACCGGTAAATTGAGAGCTTCGCCTTACGACTCAGCTCCTTTTTCACCACAACGGACCGGTACAGAGACCACATTATTGTGGACGCCGCACCGATCTATCTGTCAACCTGCTGCTCCATTTTTCCCTCATTCGTGAACAAGACCCCCAGATACTTAAACTCCTCCACTTGAGGGAGCAACTCGCCCCCAGCCCGGAGAGGGCAATCCACCTTTTTCCGATTGAGAACCATGGCCTCAGATTTGGAGGTGCTAATTCTCATCCCCACTGCTTCACACTCAGCTGCAAACCCCTCCAGTGCACGCTGTAGGTCTTGAACTGATGAAGCCAACAGAACCACATCATCCAGAGCAGAGACAAGATTCTGTGGCCACCAAAACAGACACCCTCTGTTCCCTGGCTGCACCTAGAAATTCTGTCCATAAAAATAATGAACAGAATCGGTGACAAAGGGCAGCCTTGGTGGAGTTCAACATGCGCCAGAAACAGATCTGACTTACTGCCGGCAATGCGAACCAAGCTCCTACTCCGGTCATACAAGGAACGGGCAGCCCATAACAACGAGGTAAGACTGGTTGGACAAACTCCCATGAACCCTCCAACACCTTGAAGAGGGTATAGAGCTGGTCCAGTGTTCCACGGCCGGGGCGAAAACCGTATTGTTCCTCCTGAATCCGAGGTTCGACTATCAGCCGGATTCTCCTCTCCAGTACCCTGGCATAGACTTTATTTATTTAAATAAATATTTATTTAGAATTTATTGATCATCAGTGGAAAATTCTTAGCCTATCTATCAGTAAAGTACTTCAGATTATAAGCATATAAGGTAATTAACATTAGCTCTATCTTTACCAGCTGGAACATTAAATGTGAAATATACAGTAATTCATCAATAATTATAAACCAATAATATGGTACACATTAGTGTGATCTGTGCCAGGCTGCATAATGAGTATGCTTTTTTTTATTTTTGGCACAATACATATAACAAAAATCCCCCGCTTGCCCCCCACTTTGGGGCGGTCTTGTATTCCTTCCCTCAAGCTCGGGTCCTCTACCAGAGGCCTGGGAGCTTGAGGGCCCTGCACAGCTGTGTTTAAGGATGAAACTAAATATTTTCATCATCAGTGAATCTAATGCTTATTTATTGTATCAACTGCTTAATTGTTGAACCTGCAACATTTGATTTTGTTTTTCTTTCAGCCAACTGGAGGCATCTGAACAAGTTGTAAACACAACACTGACATATTGAACCAAATTTCACTCTTCTTTTAGCTCGGTTTTTGGTCTCCACCATCGTCTTGTGGAGATGTCTGGCTCTGTAGCTGCCACTGAGCTGCAGCTGTTTAGCTGATGTTCCCAGCTATTTGCTAACTTAGTGTGCTGGTTCGTGCTGGTCTCTCAGAGCTGCTGGATATGAGGTTGGTTAGAATGGTGACACTGAATTTAACCATACATTTGCAGGCTGAAAAACCAAAACAACAAAACTGAAAGACACTAAAATGCAAACTGCAGCTCAGATAAACTAGTCAGTTTGGTCATACACAGTGCATGCAGTTATTTAAACAACAGTTAATATAAAAGTACCACTACTAAGTCTAGAAAATGCCTAGCCATTCCATTCCAGTTTATACCTACCAACACTCCAAAATCCACACATATTTAATTTACAAAAAGAGAGAAAAGAGCAGAAAATTGATATAAAAACTGGTTGGTATTTTTGCTTCATTAAAAACCATTTAATCCATTTTTGAAATTGTTGTTGATTAACTTCCTGCCGAATAATTAACTAATTGTTACAGTAGTTTGACTAGAACTGCAGTTTTCCAACACAGTCTTAAAGACCAAAGCAGGGTCCATTTGTTAAACCAGTATACATGCATACACCTCACACCTCACATCTTGCGATGCCTGAGCAGCTGACTGAAAAGTTCGCGCCTGCGGTGGCATCACTGATTGAAGTGCAGCTCTAGTTTTGTTTTATTTATTTTTTTACCTCTTTGTGATTCAATTTGTAATGTAGCCTTTATTAGCACTGTTGATTTATGCTGACCAGATGGAATTAACTACCTACTTACTGTGGATTTTCTCTACCATATTTTTTATTTCTTTCCTTCGGCATCCCTCACTCTTGGCTTTTCTGTCTCCTGTCGTCCATGTGCCACCTCCTCCCCTCCCCTCTCGCTCTGTACAGTGTATGTGAGGCTGGTCGATAGTGACAGTCCGAGCCTTTGTTATGGCAGACGCCACTGACAGGCCTTTTAATTGCAGCCTGACTCTATGGATCACAGATTCACACACAAACACACACACTAGAGCCAAGGGAGGGGCACAGGCACTTCATTAGCTATGCCAGTCGGGGCATGTGGTGCTATGCCTGAATACAGAGTATATTCGCTATCTAATCAAAGAACCTGCTCACAGACACATACACACACACAGAGCCCTTGTTACCTGCAGTCCATTACTAAGAGGAGGGATCAGGGTGGAGATACAGAAGAATGTTGAGCGGTGAAAACATAATCTCTGAATCTCACCCATCTGGAAACTTGTGATGCTTGTCACAGACACACACCATTCATGTTATGTCTCTACCATTTCTGGGCACCAGTGTATGAAGAGATGTGAGGGTGACACACATGCATGCTACGGTCTTACATGTGATAGTGCATATGTCAGTGTATGTATCTTTTGATATTGTATAGAAAGACCATATGAAAAGCCAAATGGGTGATTAGAAAAAGCAGACAGATATTGCCCCATTTTACACAGACTATGGTAGCGGTTGATATGAATGTAGCTTTGTAACCAGTCAATCCACCTGCTAATAACAGCTGAGTATTTTGCATGGGAATCAATGAAGGCACCTCTTTAGTATTCCTGCAAGACTTGCCCGGGATAAATTACACTAAGTATGATGCATCGATAGTCAATGCAGAGATTCAAACATGTTATTGCTGATGCTGTAAATATGCAGCATACTCTGCTGCATTATTTTGGAGCCATATACTGTACAGGATCCAGTATTTGTCTGGCTTACACTGGCACATGATGGTGGCTGGTGGGTGAGTCAGAAAACCAAAACAAGGTATTTTTGTAATCCACAAATAATGAATGAATTATTAAGTTTATCATTTTTGAATTTAGATTCTAATTACCCATGCATCTTACAGCCGAACTACTGCAAAAATAATAACAAATAAAAATAAAAAAAGTTGGCCTCATGCAATTTTAAACATATGCAGACTGCCTACATCTATAGAGTCTATAGTAAATCTCATAATAAAATACATATAAATTACCTCACATAAATACAAACATAAGAAAAACCATGCCTGTATATATGCAACCAGCTAATAACACATTAATAACATAATTTAAAAGTGTTATTCAGTTCATGACTATATAGTAAATCAATTTCAGAAAGTTTACCGATCATTTTTCTCCTTTTGTTTGAAGCATTGCAAATCAATTCTGAAACACAGAAAACACACTCAGTTCACTTAAAGTTCTCTTCTCCAGCCTGATCAAAGATGAGTTTGGAACCCTTTAAGGCTATTTGTCAAAAGTTATGATGTAGAGGACAGTCGAAAATGAATGCATTTAATTTCCCCCCTCATTAAGCTCACAATATTAACAGATTCTCTCATCTTCACCTCCACCTCCTGCATCATCTGGTTTTAATGTGTAGTGGCAATATTTACAGTTGATTTGCAGAGTTTACAATAAAGTGACACATTTATTTGCATAA